TCTTGGAGGGCCTGGGGGGGTCTGGGGACGATGTTTCGGAGGGTTCTCCCACGGGGGGGGGGGTCTGAAATGGCTTGTCTTGGAGGGTCCAGACCCCCTCCCTTTTATTACGAGATCTGGAGTACCCACTGTGCTGGCCCCCCAGCAGCCCTCGAAAGTGGCGACCGTTTCGCAGATCGCAGCCCCCCAGGGGTGGCAAGGTCACAGGCAGGTACGAGAGGTGCGAGACTAGAGGGGAAAGAGAGAGAGAGGGAGAAACAAAAAAGGGGGTGGCGGGAAAGGAGGAGGAAGGACGGAGACGCGACCAGTGCTCAATTCAAAACGAGAGCCCAACAACGGAGGGTTGGGAAAAATGATCCCGACCTGGAGATACTCATACGATGGAGGGGTGCCCACCCTCAATTCGACAGGGACACGACAGGAAGAAGCGGCGCCTAGACGGCGCCTCGGCATTCATATATATCTGTGAAACGAAGGCACAGAAGAAGAAGAAGAAAGATCAATCGTGAAGGCAAGCGCGCCGGAGCGATTGGGGTGCGCCCGAATAGCCCCCTCCTGGGGCCTCTCCGAGTTCCCACGCTATTCAAAAAACGGCCTGCCCCCTATGGGCGAGCCAGGACGCTTTGGGCAGGCCCCGACCGAAGCGTCCCGACTCCATGGCAGGCCCTGTGCGCCCGACCTCCTGGTAGGCCCATAGGCGAGCCGACCTCCTGGTAGGCCCAGGATAGGGAGGAGGGAGGATAGGAGGGAGGAGGGAGGAGGGAGGAGGGAGGAGGGAGGAAGAGGAGGGAGGAGGAGGAAGGGGAGGAGGAGGAAGGATGAGGGGGGAAAGGGAAGGGAGGAGGAGGGGAGGAGGAGGAGGAGGGGGAGGAGGAGGAGGAGCAGAGGAGCCACGAGCACCGGGGGGACGGGCGGCGGAGCGCCGCGCCCGCGGGCGGAGGGGGGCAGGCGCCCGCGCGCAGGGGGGGGGCGGCGGGGCCGGGGGCGGGGGGCGGGGCCGGAGGGCGGCGCGTGCGCAGCAGCTCCGGGCCCCCCACCTCGGCAGCTCGGCCCGACACACCGGGTGCCCGCCCGCCGCCGGGCCGCGCGGCCCCCCCCCCCCGCCCCCCGCGCACCGCTCTCCGTCCCCGCTCTCCCGGCGCCTCCTCCGCCTCTCCCCCCCGTTCTCCTCCTCCTCCTCCTCCTCCTCCTCCTCCTCCCCTCCTCCTCCTCCTCTCCTCCCGGAACTCGGAACTCCGCGAAGCCGGTCGTGCAAGCACACGGCGAGCTCCGAAGGAGCGAGCGGCCTGTCGAAGCGGGGCCGCTGCCCTGCCATGGCCCCCTCCCTCCCCCCCTTCCTGCCCCCGTTCCCTCCCTCCTCCGCGCCCTGTCCTCATCGCCAACCTCGCCCCCGTCAGTGCGCCCTCATCCTCCCGCTTCCTCCGCATCCGCCATGCCTCCTCCCTCTTCCTGCCGTCCCCCCTCTGCCTCCCTGCCTTCCTCCCTTCCCCCGCCCACTCCCTCCCTCCGCGGTTTTCTCTCTCCTCGCCGCCGTCACTCCGCCCTCATCGTCCTTCCCGTTTCCGCACGGGTTCCTCCTCTTGCTGCTCCTCCTGTTCCTCTTCCTCCTCTTGTTCCTGCTCCTTTTTGTTCATCCTCCTGGCCCCCCTTCTCGCCCCCCTCCTCCTCATCCTCCTCGTCCTCCTCCTCCTCCTCTTCCCTTTCCTAATCCTCATGTTCTTGCTGCTCCTCCTTGTACTCCTTTACCCTCACTCACCCCGCCGCTCTGCTCCCCCGCGTTCGACGCCCCTCCTCGCTCATCCCCCCCCCGATCCTCTGAGCTCCGTCGTCGACCCTCGCCTAGGTCGATACTCATCGCCCGCGACCCCCGCCCCGGGTCGATTCGAGCCAGGCTGTTCAAATCATCCTCGGCCCTCGCTCTGGGTCGAGTCTCGTCGCCTCCGGCTCGCGCCCCGGGTCGACTCCTGCCGGGCCGAGCTGTTTGAATCACCCTCGGCCCTCGCCCCGGGCTAATCCTCGTCGCCCTCGACTCTCGCCCCGGGTCGATTCGAGCAGAGTTGGCTCGATCACCCCCGGCCCTCGCCCCGGGTCGGTTCTCTTCACCCTCGCCTCTCGCCACCGGTGGCTTCGAACGGAGTCCTTTGATCGCGCTCGACCTCGCCGTGTGTCAATCCTCATCGCCCTCGAGTCTCACCTTCGGGTCGGACGGCACGGCGGGAATAGCAAAGGGCGGAGGAGGAGGAGGAGGAGGAGGAGGAGGAGGAGGAGGAGGAGGGAGGAGGAGGAGGAGGAAGGAGGGAGGAGGGGAGGAGGAGGAGGGGGGTCGAGGAGGAGGAGGGGTGGGGGAGGGGGGGGGAGGAGGGGAGGGGAGGAGGAGGAGGAGGAGGAGGAGGAGGTAAATTCGAGCCGGATAGCTTGATCACCCGAGACCCTCGCCCAGGGTCGACCCTCGCGCAGATCGCCTCTCTCCCAGCCTCAGTGCGGCATCCTCGCGGGCCACTCTCCTGCGACGGCCGGCCAGAAGCCTGCCGCGTCGGAGGCACCAGCACGTCGAAGTCCCGTTGCGAAGGCGGCTCCCCCTGGGCATGGTGCATCCACCACCTCCACCACCACCCCCTCCAGCCCCTCGCCCCCGCCTCCGCCGTCTCTTTCTCTGCGCCTGCGCCTTCTCGCCCCTCCCGCCTCCGCCTCCGTTCGCGCCACCTGGTGTGTCCTCTTCTTCCTCCTCCTCCTCCTCCTCCCTCCTCCTCCTCCTCCTCCTCCTCCTCCTCCTCCTCCTCCTCCTCCTCCTCCTTGTCATCATCATCATCGTCAGCAGCAGCAGCGCCACAATCACCATCGTCATCATTATAAACATCATCATCTGCACCATCATCACCATCAGCATCATCATGATCATCATCATCAGCAGCAGAAGCACCATCAGCATCGCCAGCGCCATCAGCATCAGGAATACCATCCACATCAGCACCAGCACCAGCCTCAGCCTGAGCCACAGCCTCATCCACATCAGCGTCATCAGCATCATGATCATAGACTTCATCATCATCATCATCATCATCATCATCATCATCATCATCATCATCATCATCATCATCATCATCATCATCGTCGTCGTCGTCATCATCATCATCATCATCATCATCATCACCACCTTCATTGACAACATCACCAACATCATCACAACCGTCATCATCAGCATCGCCAGTATCAGCACGATTATCATCGTCGTGATCATCATCATCACCACCGTCATCATCAACATCATGCTCACCGACTGCAATAGCATCTGCATCATCACCTTCCTCATCCAGCTCCTCCTCCTCCTCCTTCTCCTCTTCCTCCTCCTCATAATCCTCGTCATCATCATCAGGATCATCATCACCACCACCACCATCATCATCAGCATCATCATCATCATCGTCATCATACTCATGATCAGCAACCTGATCATCATAATCAGCATCAACGTCAGCGTCGTCAGCATCATCATTGTCATCAGGAGCACGACCCTCAGCATCATCAGCGAAAACACCCACTTCATTATCATCCTCACCCTCCTCATGTCTAGTCCTCGTCTCATCCTCCCCTTCACCATCGCAATCCTCACCGTCATCATCATCGCCACCATCATCGTCACGATCATCATACTCATCATCATCGTCATCACCGTCACCCTCACCACCACCACCATCATCATCACCATCGCCATCATCATCATCATCACCATCACCAATATTATCAACGCCATCACCATTATCGTCATCGCAAGCATCGTCGTCAGCATCACCAGAGCAATCGCCATGATCATCCTTCTGTCCTCGTATCCTCCTCCTCCTCCTCCTCGTCATCATCATGCTTATCATTATCGCCGCCATCATCATCATCACCACCCCCACCACCAGCATCGTCATTATCAGCACCATCATCAACATGAGCATCAGCATTGTAAACATCACCACCGCCACCACCACCATCGCCTCTATCATCATGATCATCATGATCATCATCATCACTGTCACCGTCGTCGGCATCGTCAACGTCATCCGCATCGTAATCTTGATCCTTCTCCTGATCCTCCTCCTCCTCCTCCTCAACATCACCATCATCTTCGTCACCCGTGCGATTCTGAGTGTCGAGAATGCGGCACCTGAGTAGAATGCAAGGACGTCACGAGCGAGAGCGCTGTTCCTGGGCCAATTGTAGCAAGATCTCCAGCGAGAGCGCGAACCCTGAATAGATTCCGAAGGCGTATCGAGCGGTAGCCGCATTGTTGCAGCCGGAGGCCCAGGGGCACCATTCGGGCACCAAGACTTGCCCTGGAACAGAAAATGCCATCCACACGGAAGAAACAAACTCGATTGACAACCGCAAATGGCACTGCCGGGGGATCGACAATCCGAGGGCCCCTCTGGGGCCAGCAGACTGCGAGGCGTAGGTGTTCCTGTGCCCTGCAAGAGTGCAAATTTCAAAAGCTATAGTTCAAAATGGTCTGGTTTCTATTGAGCAGGGACCGCCCGCCCCGGGACTCCTAAAGGCCTACCACGAGCTGTTCTTAGAACCCAAGAATGTTCGAATAGCAACAACAAGGTCCTTAGAACAGAAACCTGATGTGCTAAAACAAAGCGCACTCAGCCAGAAGTGCTCTGAAAACACTTCGCGCAAACCACAAGAGGTTCTTGGACCCTTCTCTGGTGGGCCCGTGGGCGAGCAAGGACGCCTCGCCACTGCTTGGTTCTAGTTCCGCCGATCATGTTTTAGACTTGAGAGGCCATTGCCATTGGCTACGACCACTCCCGTGTCCGAGAGGGGGGGGAGAAGGGGGGGGATAGCAAAGGGTAGGATAGAGAACCAGCTCACGTAGCTGACTTTCCCAGACCCTCCCGGCGCCGGGAGGCGCACCATGTACCGAGGAGTGGGCCCAGCGGCGGGGCCGAAACAAGCTGCATGCAGCAGATTTCGTAGCCCCCCCTCTCCCTGTCCCCCCCTTTCGTGGGGGCGCGCACCAGCTCATCGCAGGCAGTCTGCCCCTCTTCCGGAAGCCGGCCACGGCGCGGATGTCGGCGTCGGACATCTTCCTGGGCGGGGCGCCCCCCCCTTTTCGCCCCCCCCCCCAGTCCCTTGTCTTAGGTCGGGCATGTCCCCCCTACAGGCGGATTCTGGACGACAAATGACAAATAGTCCAACAATACTCGAAGATGATCGAAAAATCATAGAAAAATCGTGCCCTGACTATGTTTTGACTATTCGTCATTCTTCGTTCCCCTAGACAAACCAATTCTGGACCCTGGTGCCTTTCGCAAAGACAAGCTTCTCATCCTCAGTCGGTTTCTGACAGTCCTGGGGCCCGTGGAGGGCCCCGAAGGCCCGAAAACGGCGGAAAACCTCAGGACCCGCTTCCCCCATTGCTCAGGGGCAACCGTCCAGCTCTCAGGACCCTCGGAAAACAGCACAGGATAAAGCGCTGGAAGCGGGGAAGGGGTCCAGAGCCCTAGCACGTGCATTGACAACATCAATTGGCAAGAGGTTATATTCTGAGTACCTCAATAGTTCTGGGGTGACCAATAGTCCGGGGGGGGGGCCCTGTAGTCCCGGGGGGGCCCTGTAATCCATGGGGGGGCCCTGTAGTCAGGGTAGTCCGGGGAGGACCCTGTAGTCCCGAGGGGGGGGGGCCCTTGTAGTCCGGGGGGCCCTTGTTGTCTGGGGGCCCAGAAAAGTTGAGGTACTCCGAGTGGTGCCTTCTCCTCCCCTGATCCCTCGCCCTCCTCCAGGAAGAGGGGGTGAGCACTGATACAAGGCTGCGTGCCACCGGAGCGTGAATGCACCTCCATGCCGACAGCACGGCGACCCCGAACGAGACGAGGGAAAGGAGGGGCAGAGTAGATGAGCGAACACCACACACAACGCACGATGTTGCAGGTGCGCGTGGACTCCACGAATCGGCGCTGGACCCCCCTCCCTGGCGCGCTCCGCCGGACGCGCAGCCAGGGAGGGAGGGGGGAGGGCGGTGCCCCAGGGTACCGCGCTGGGATGACACTGGCGTCGTGCCGCCACAGGGAGCGCACGAGAAGGAGCGAAGGGGCTCGCTTGGCCACGGCGGGCCTGGGCCATCAGCAGACCACACGGCACAAGCCCACGGAGCGGCTCGAAAGCCCGAGCCCCCTCGGAGCGCACAGCGGTCCTGACTGCAGCGCTTTGACTGCAGAAGGAGCTCCACCACGAAAAACCTTCCTCAAGGAACCCAACCCTGAGGAGACCCCTGGACGTCCACTGAGCTTTGGTGTGGGAACGTTACGCTGTCCATGGCAAGACCATTGAAAGCCAAGAAACCCAGGGCACCCTGGAGGCAAGCAGGGTGTTTCTTGTCATGGGTTCCATTGCGTACATGTCTATACTTTGCAACCCTCATCATTATTTCCCTTTTCCTGGCTCCCGCGTTCCTCGCCGATCCCTCCGTCCTGCTCGGTCATCCCTGCCTGTCTCCTCCCGCCAACTCCATGCGTCAGCTGTCCTTCTGCCTCAGCTTCCTCCTTTGTCCTCCTCCCCCAGTCGCCCCCCATGGACTTTCTCGCCCAATACTTGCATCCCTCTGAAGTCCTCTCCCGCCTCCCTCTTCAAATCACCCTCCGTCCTCCTCGAACCGCCCCAATCCAACGACATCCTCGCTTCCTTCTTCATTCGAATAACATGTCCCTTCTTTACTCCTCATCATCCGACCTACTGTTTTCCATTTATCCTGCGTCCCTCGTCTATGCTGCTTGTCTCTCACTCCTCCCTCATCGCCACGTCTGCGCCTCCTCTTCATTATCATCATTGTCCTCCTCATCCTCCTCATCCTCGCCCTCCTCCTCCACTCCTCATATCCTGCCCCTTTCTCCTCTACTTCCTCCTCACTCCTGCTGCACATCCTCCGCCCCCACTTCCTTCCCACCTCGATCCGCTCTCCCCCCTCCTGCCTCATCCTTTGTCCACTCTCACTCCCCTCCCTCCTCCCTGTCCTCCACCCTCGCCCTTTCCCCCTCCCACCCCCCTCTTCCCTCCTCCTCCAGCTTCCTCCCCGCCGCGACGTTTCCCTCGTCGCCGTTGTCGTCCTCTCTGTCCACGTCCTCGTCACCGTCGTCCTCCTCCTCCCCCTCCCCCTCCTCCTCCTCCTCCTCCTCCTCCTCCTCCTCCTCCTCCTCCTCCTCCTCCTCCTCCTCCTCAAAGCCGTCCTCGGGAGCACAACGCGGGCTGGGTACGACGGGCAGAGGCTGTAGTCGGCGTTTATGGGCGAGAGCCTCCACGGACACGAGGGGCTGGGAACCCGCCGGGCACCCCAGCGCGGGGGCCAACAGCGCGCGGCATGGGGGTGCCCGGAGCACCAGGTCCGTGCGTGCGCTGCCAAGAAGCCGGCGACGGCAAGAGTGCTTCGCGGTGCCCGGCCTCCAGACCACACTTCCCTTCATGCCTTTCCACGGCGCGGCAGTCGCCCGAAGACAGCGCGAATGCCCGAGGTCATCCACCCGATCCCCGAGAGCGGTCTGCACGCCGACGGCCCACGCGTGCTCTGGCTGCGGGACAGCGCCTCAGGATGGCGAAACTGTCCCGAGGCAGAGGTGTCCGACGTCGGAGGAGTGGAGGGCGCCCTTCCCAAAATGAAGGGGCCCTGGGACACACAAATAAATACACACACATAAAAAGATTCCCCATAGTGTCCTGTATTTTCTGGGTTTCTGTCTTCCCCCCCACTTCCCATATTTTCCCATATTTTCTGGGGAATCGCCGATTAATTGTGTCTGTGTGTTTCTTTCCCTCCTGACAAAAGGCTGGCTTGTCAGCCCGAGCAGCGGCGGACGGCCCCCGGGGGCCGCAGCCGGCCCCCAGGGGAAAACGCAGACTTTGAGGCACCGGCCGTCTCGACCTGCCACGTGGCGCCAGGAGATGCTTGCTCCCCCCCCGCCCAGCCTTCCCGCGGCACGAGAGCATGCGCTCTGATCGCGGCATCTTCACAAGAGCGCGTTTCTGTATTTTCGGCGATCATGGGCATTATAAGGGGGGTGGGGCAGGGGCCAGGGGGGGAGGTATAATGTAATGCCTCCCCCCCACCGTGCGCACGGCGGCAGTGCCCAGAACGCACTGGGGGGGGAGGGGCGTTACGTTATAGGGAGGGGGGGGAGGGGGGGCCGGGGGCCATAATGTTCAGTAGGCCCGAAGAAATAAAGAAACACGCTCCAAAGGTGTCGAGGACAAGCTCCGAGTCTCCGAGGCAGAGCTTCGGCGGCCCTCCCTGCTGCCAGCTCCCCTTCTCGGAGCCCTGCAGGGAGCCTCAAAAAAAGGCCAGAAGCGCCAGAAGAGCGGACCTTGCTCCTCGGGGAGGGCGCGACAAATAAAAAAAGGCGTGATAGAACCCTTGGAAAGTTCGAGCGGATTGCATGATGGCCGCCCCCTCCCTGGCGCGCGGGGTGCGCCAGGGGCGGCGCCGGAGGCGCCGCCTGTGGAGCCCAGCGCCGATCCAAGAAAATCCGAGCGGACCTCCGAAAGTGTACGTTTATGCCGTAGCGTTTTTTTAAGCTCAGGCGGAACCTAAGAAAAACGCGAGTCATGGAATAGAGGATCGGTGAGAAAAAACCATATCGATTACACACAGCCGTGGATGACCCATCAGCGTGTCACTGTTGAGAGTCCACCAGGCGCCTGGGCAAAAACAAAGGAATGACACGCTGACAGGCTCCCAAGCTAGACGTGCGCTCGCGCCACACCGCCAGAAGCTTTGTTCCCGGGCCGCAGGGAAGGGGTGGGGGCACTTGCACGTCGGAGGCGGAGGAGAAGGCGGATGGAGGTGGACGAGATTGGGGGAGGAGCAGGCAGGCCAGGAAGAAGTGGCGGAGTGGACCGGAGGGTGACAGCAACAAGGAGGAGGGAATGGGATCCAACAGCGTGGCCCGCGCCGGGGCGAGAGTGCCATTCTGAACGACGGGAGCAGCGCACCGATGCCGAGATGTTGCCGAATCTGCAGCGGAAGCAGTGTGTTTGGATGAGACCATTCCGATGGAAGCACAGGCAGACATGAACGACCAGTGGTTGGGGTCCTGCGGATAAAAGCAGCATGCCGAAGATGCAACGGCGAAGCGACACAGCATCAGGAGAGGGAAGAGGCCAGACGGTGAAACTGTAGAAAGGGGATGGGGGAGACGACGGCGACGAGGACAGGACAGGACAGGACAATGTCTGCCCCTGGGGCTTCGACCACTCCCCCACGTCTGGATTTCTATCCTGATGAGCATCGCTTGACCGACCCCTCTCCCACTGGAGTGGTCTGGGCACCGGTGGCCGACTTACCCCCCTGGATGGGGATGTAGGCCGTTGCCTTCGGCCTTCGAAGGGTGCGTCCCCAACTGGGGTGCTGAGATGCTGGGGGTCTGGCTGGGGATCGGGACGGGGATAGGGGTCTGTTCAAAGGTACCGACCAGGAGCCGCTGCCCGACTGTCTTGAGTCGGGCCTGTCCCCCTACAGGCCCCGATTTTGGACAAAAACAAAAAACAAACAAAAAAAAAAGAAAAACAAAAAAAAAAAAACTACCCAAACATAAAGACTGTTTTTGTTTACTCTCTTTGAACATTCCTCCTGCAGAAGAGGGACACGCCCGACTTCACGACAGGCCCCCGGGAGCGGGGACACACGGCCTCCCGAGGCCGAGGGCTGCGACGCGCAGGCACCCCCGCGCCCGTCTGATGCTGCGCCGCCCGGATCTGAGGGGCGAGGGGTCCTCGGAGCCCGTGGGGAAACCAGCCGAGGGCTGCCGATGACGCTACGGTTCAGTACGGGCGCGGCCGCAAGAACTCGCCGCAAGAAGCCCAACACTGAAAGCCCGCGCGCGAGGTGCGCCTGGGAGGAAGCCCGGGGCACCCTGGACGCAGGCAGCCGCTCCTTCCCCGGCTGCGGGAAGCCACCGCGCGGCGCGCGGAGCGTAGGCACCCAGGATACCCTGACGAAAAGCAGGTGGTTTCCTGATGCGCGCCCCCACTGTAGGGGCCAGTCCACCACAAACCTTCCACAAGAAGTCCGACCAGGAGACCCTAGGACGTCGATTGATTTTTGGTGTGGCAACGTTACGCTCTCCATGCTCTCCATGGCAAGACCATCGAAACCCAGGTCACCCAGGGCACCCTGAAGGCAAGCAGGGTGTTTCTTGGCATGGGCCTCCACTGTACTTCCTCGGGCTGCGTCGGTGGCGCGCCTGTCGGGAGCGGCCGAGAGGGGGGTGTCCAAGAGGGTGGGGTGCAAATCATGACCAGCGGCATGTGCGCGGCCCAGCGGGGGGGGCCAGGGACGCAATGAAATAAGAAGAGGCGCCATGAAATCTGGGGAAATATCATGGCCCCCGCCATGATATCCACCCCCCCCCTAAAATCACCCCCCTCTTTTCCGCCCCCGAGCCTGGGGGACCCTGCACCGCCCCAAAACCTGCGCGTGGCTCTCTGAAAAAATTCTGCCTGTGCCGTCTTTTCTGCCTCGAGCACCGGGCTCGCCCCGTGGACGTCGGCGCGGGCGGTCCTGGGGGAGCCAAAGCGATACCCGCACCGCTGCTCCTCGGACCTCTCCTGGGGTGCGCTCTCGTCAGGACTCTCGCATCCAGCCGTGGCGACGAGGGCCCCCCAGGTGGAATCACACGGGCGAAAACGAGAGAAGGGTAGCAGTAGTGGTACCTGCTCCTCCTTCGAGTCTTAGGGTGGGGGATGCGGTGCGATGCGATGGGCGTGTCGTCTCGACTTGGTCCTTGGTGCTTGCTGGTGTGATGCCGGTGTAGTGATGCTCGAGCGCCGTCCATGTCTAGGAATCTTGGGCTGTTTGCGTCCATGCCATTTGAGCAGGGACCGACCGTCCTGGCATTCCTATAGGCCTACCGCGGCCAAATGTTCTGATGACGAAAACAATGTTCTTAGAACATAGCCCCGAAGTGTCAAAACAAGACAGGTCTCAGCCAGAAATGTTCTGAGCACAGTTCGTGCAGAGCACCCAAAGTTATTAGAACATTCTTTGGTGGGCCTATAGGCAAGCCAAGACGCTTCGCCACTGCTTGAGCCATGTCGTTTGACTGTGGGGAGAGCGCCGCCCGATTCGAATGGGCCCTGGGACACACAAATAAATACACACAAATAACAGGACTCCCCATATTTTCCAATATCTTCGGGGTGTTTGTCTCCCCCCCCCACTTCCCATATTTTCCCATATTTCCCTGGGGATCGACGATTCATTGTGACTGCGTGTTTTTCCTCATGACGGTTGCCCCCCCCTGCCCGCGGGAGGCCGGGCGCGACTGGCGGCGCCAGGACGAGGCGGCGCCAGCCCGGGGTGGATGATGTCGGTCTCCACGCCCATCCGCGCGTACTCCTGCGGCGCAGGCCCGCGTCGGGCCGAGGGACAGGGGGACAGCCGTGCAGGATGGTCAACGAGGAGGAGCAGGATGAGGAGAAGGAGGAAGAGGAGGAGGAAGGAGGAGGAGAAGGAGGAGGATGAGTAAAGAGAAGGGGGAGGAGGAGGAGGAAGAGGAGGAGGATTGACACAAGGAATCGTCGCCGGGAGGGGTGTCGGAGGACGGTTGAGAAGCCTCGGTGACGACAGCGACGACGCCCACGAGCAGTCCTAGAGCCCGATGTATGAGTCATCGCCCAGGGCGCTGCTGTGTGACGCACCACCCCTCCCTCCTGGACCATCCGAATCAACATCCTACATGTCACGGGGGGAGCTAGCGAACCGGGACACGCGGCTGGTTCCCCCGGCGCCTCGCGGCATGGCGACGAGGGCACCTCGGGAGGCTCAAAACAACGCAAAACTCAAGAGTTTCCCACTCCTCCTGCTCCTCTTGTTTCCTGCTCCTGTTTCTGCTCCTGCTGCTCCTTTTCCTTCTTTTTTTCCTCTTTTTCCTCCTCCTCCCTCGTCCTCATCCTCGTCGTCCTCCTCCTCCTCCTCCTCGTCGTCCTCTCCTTGGGCATGCCGCGGGAGCGAGCGACACCCTCCTCCTCCTCCTCCTCCTCCTCCTCCTCCTCCTCCTCCCCTCTTCCTCCTCCTCCTTCTGCTCCTGCTCCTGCTCCTCATCCTTTTCTAGGGAGCCCACGAAAAGACGTACGCGTCCGACCATGTACATGTGTGCGGTCCCCCAGTCCGCGAGACGAGCCTCATTCTACGAATGTTTGCACATTGCGTGCACGTCCTTGTTACGATCCTCCTCCTCCTCCCCCTCCTCCTTCTCCTTTTCCTCCCCTCCTCCCCTCCTCCCCCATCCTCCTTCTCCTCTCCTCCTCCCCCCTCCTTCTCCTCGTCCTCAATCCCCCCCCCCCTCCTCCCTCTCCTCCTCTCCTCCTCCT